ATCTGTGAGAGGACAGGGAGTCCAGCTTTGCTGCAGCACTAAAACGCCCTGCAGCTTGCCCAGCTGATGGAAAGGGGGCAGGAATCTGCACAACTAGATTTGATCAGGTGTCCTTGGCACTGGCATTCGCTGCTGGTCCGAGCTCCCCTTTACAACCAGCAGCAAATGAAATGTGAATTTCATCTGCTGTGAATTTACGCAGCCTGGGTGCCGAGTGGTGGAGCAGCAACTGGAATGGGAGCAGCTGCCCCTCAAATCAATAATGTGCAGAAATGCCATGGCATTTACTGTCATTTCGTTGTATCTTTTCTCCATAAGGAGGAAGGATATTGTGCAGCAGGGGTTATATTTGTGGTATGCAGCTAAAGGCTCCTGCAAGGAGCTGACTACTGGCTACAAGATGCTTTTACAGTCAAACCCCATGAAATAAGAGGCTCGCCTTCCAGTTCAAAGTCACCACTGGATGTAAGGACTTCAATTTCTTCTAAGTCACTGTGGGATTTTGCAGCCTAAGAGCAGAAAAATCAAGTCTTTTTTAGCTTTCTTTTCATCAGTAATAAATATCCTTTTGAATTCACATCAAGTCCCATGAAGCAGCCAGCAGACACAGTGCCTGTTGCTGCTGCAGAACTTTTGTTTCTCCCTTCTCCTCATCTCCTGGTCTGATATTCCGCACCCTTTGACTTTCCTTCCAAATTTCTGGAGGGGTCAGTGAAGGCAAACGTGCTTCTCCAAGGAGCCTTCCCCTGTGCTGCCTCAGCCAACCTGCCTCTGGAAACACTGAACTGAAAAGTTTGATATCTGCATTGCAGAAGATAAACACCTTGGCAAAGCAGGCCAGGCATTACCCAAGGACAAACCTCTGCTTAGAGGGAGGTAGATTCAGACCAGGACCAAGGGGAGGGTAAGCAGAGGAAGACAAAACCACAAAGGTGTTGGAAGTAGGAATAAAGATATTAATTGCAGGATGAATAAGGATAACATGAAAACAGCCTGAACCACAGATACATGCAAATACATCCATACTGTGGGTGGGCACCAGTATCAGGACTGGCTTTCCAGTCTGATAGTTTTCCTGAAGTGGTAAGGAGCCACTTTAACCAAATGGTGCACTTACAGAGGGCAGACCCACAAGTGCTCCGCACAGACCTCTTTGCTTACAACCCTGATGACTTTTTGCTCACCCAGATGGAAGTGTCCTATCTTATTTTCACCTTTTTGCTAAGCAACACACCACTTCCTAACTTGCTCTTTGAGGTACTTTCAAGAGCCTTCTGGTGGGTGTTGCAGGGTTTTTCTGTACCCGGAATGTCCTTCCCCTTCCACCCCACGCCTCCATCACTCTGCAGCAAGTCACAAAGGGACCCACCAGGGGAACTCATTCCGTACATGACACTGACTCATTCCTGATCATTCAGCAGGTGGTTCAAGACAAAAATAATAACGCACATACTGAAAGAGACATTTCTAACTCCCCTAGCTGCACAGAGCACTGGGCTGTAGCAGTGATGATTCGTGGTCCAAGCCTCAAAATTAATAACCACCACCAGAGCTGTTTCAGTCAGCCCAGAGCGTTTGTCATCTCCAAGCCACTTGACACCTGGGGCACTCGTTGTACCAAACGCACAGGCTATGAATAAGAAAAACCAGGCACAGAGAGCTTCCACGTAGCTCACATGCAAGTGAGACAAGGATTGTGACTTGGGAGACACACCTTGTTTAGAGAGAAAATGCAGGTAGAAGATGTTTTCCCCCAGGTTTATGCCGTGATAACAAATGGTTGATAACCACTGCCATGCTGTGAAAAACCTTTAATCTCCACTCAGATAAACGAAGCACTAGCAAATACTTAATTATTCAATGGAGTTTAGTAAAAGCAAGGTTATTAATTGAATTAAGTTTTACTAGATGTGCTTATTCCTCAGAAATAAGCACATCTCAGCTAAGCGAGAAGAGGAAGAGAGAGTAATTATTACACAGCCTGCACAGTCACACACATTCATTTATTGTTTCCACTGTGGTTTGGGTTGGCTCCCTAGCATGCTCTGCGTGAAACAGCATGACAGAAATGACTTACCAGCAAGTGATACCTTCTTGCTCTTTTATGAATGATCTCTCTCTCCTTCCTCTTAACCTCTTCACACAGCAGGGAGCCCAGGTTGCTAAATATGCTGCCTGCTGTGGTTTTGCACCGTCTGCTGTCAGCCTTTTTTAATGACATGTTTTTCCACCCAGCAGCACTACCACCCCCCTGTCATTTTGAGTAGCATGGCACACGTCGAGGCACCAGTTGAGGCACAAAGGACGGAGAGCCCCAGCATTAGACTTGCAGGGAAGGAAAGATCCACTAACCAGCCCTTACGGCCAGCTTTACACTGCTACGGGTTTTCTGGCTGTAATTTAAGGTCCTGCTGCACTCACAGCTGTACCTAGAAGGACAACTTGGGGCTTGGGACTTCTGGGCAGGTAATGGTCTGTGAAGGAGCAGCCAGCTGCTGACAAGCACCCAGGCCCATTGCTTACAGCACACTGCAGGGCAGGCCGCAGTGAAAATGGGCTCCTCGTCAGGCTGTGGGGAGGAGGTGCTGGGGCAATGGCACTGGCATGCACAGGGAAGGTCGTTTGGGGGAAAGGCCATGTAAACTCCATTTTATTTGCTTCAGTGTTTTACAATCCAATGTGTTTCCCATTGACTGAGGGCTGGCCTCCACCCTGCAAGCCATGCCAGGGGACAGCACGCCTGTTTCCAGTGGTGGTCTCCATTACTACCATCACTTATCACACTGCCTGCCAACATCTGGAGTTTGGGTTACATGAGATTTATGGCTGGCAGTTTCCTTGCTGATGAAAGCCCAGTCCAAGCAAAAGGATTTCAACAAAAGGAGGAGGGTATTTTATCTAAACCCAGAGCCTGATGCACACAGACCCTTTCTCCAGGGCTTGCTTCTCAGCTATGTGCCCTATCTCTTCTTGGAGTCCTGTGTGCAGAGCAGCTGGCTTTTCAAGAGGCACAAGATGCTTTCTGTTCAACTCCACTCACAGACTTCGTGTGACCTTGACCAACCCTGCAGCTACTGTCCTGAGGGACGTAACCAAAAGGGCATTGCCCAAGCTTACTGCTCTCACTGAAGCTGCATCATTACAGGTGCCTCTGAAGTCATTTGAATTCAACACCACGAGCCCCACGTTCCCTATCTAAATAAGCTTTCCTGCCAAGCTCCTTTTAAGAAGCCAGGGCTACCAGACTTTAATTGCCTTCTTGTTTATGCTTATTCCAGACCGTGCAATGTAACAGATTTTGATGTACTCTGAGTTGTTCTTTATTATCTCTTTTCTGATTAAATGCAGAGGGGAAGAAAAAAAAAAAGAAAAAAAGAAAAAAAAAAGTTAGAATGCAAGTAGCCCCATTCTGAGAGCAAAACATATCTGTGCTTTGACTATATTTCATTCCAGTTTTGTGAAAGGCAAAATCTTGCAAAATAACTTTTCAGCACTACAGAGTCAGAAGCAATATGTGCCAAGACAAATTTCCTTCTTATCAGGCTCTTTCCAAAGCAACAGTTCTACTTTTCAAAAAGCCATGAGAAAAATTTGTAGAATTTTCCAGCAATTAAAGTGACAATTGGAAATAAAGCTGTTCAAAAATCTGATTTTTCCATTCTCAAGACAAAGATATTCCCCCTCCTAGCCAAACCAACAAGCTAATAATTTTCTCAGATAAGCCTATTAAAACAGAAATCGATCCCCAGCTAAATGAAGGGTTTACAAAGCCTCAAACTGAGGTTTTATTGGAGACAAATTGATCCTTCTAAAATGTAGTAAACATTCAGTTTCAAGGAAAATAAAAGTAAGTACTTTGGAAGTGTTAAAATGCTTTCAGTTTTCCCATTTCTCTTTTAGAAAGAGAAGCATGAACCATATGATGAATTGATCCAAATACTTGAGCTCCAAATCTTCCTCCTCCTGTTCTCCAGAGACATGGACTGTAGGATGCAAAACAGTCTCAAAAATCTGTGTTGTTCTAGTTGGAAATCTGACCATGATGTCACAAGCTTGTGATTCCTACGATCAGATAATCAGAAGAATCAACTGAGCTCCCTAAAGCTTAATTTAGTGTCAGTACACATGGTATTATCCTGCAGAAACAAAGGGCACTCAGATTTAAAAAAACTCAGCAGCATATTCTCCTGTCAAAGACATCACATTCAGTGGTGCATAAACATCCTGTGAGCGTGGATCAGATTTTAGAGTAAGATTGGCTATCCCGCTCCAACGGCAGAGGGAATTTGGCACCTTATTATGAAATAACAGACTGTAATAATCCAGCTGTGATATCAGTTTATGGCATTTACCTCAAGCCTACAAAAAATCTCAGAATTCACTGACAAACACACCAGTTTTGATCTCTAAAGAGAGATTAGGCTAAAATTCATCCTCAGGCTAGGCAGGTACTCGTGATTTGAGTATGAGATAAAACATCCACAATTTCCATGGCACCTCATCCTAGAGGCTGATTTCCCTCTTATCTCTTTGTGACCAACACCCACTTTAAGTCTGTTGAATTTGGCTTCCAGCTACATGCTCTGCATTTTCCTCACCCCTTCCTCCCCAGATACCACCCGTCTCCATTCCCAGACTTCCCCTCCATCTCTGATCTTCTCACGAGGGCTGAGCTTTTGAATTTTGGCATGAAAAGCCATTCTCTCTAAACCAGACCCCAGGTTTGTGGTTCTTGTCCGAAATTTTAACTTTTTTGGTTTTGTTGCTGCTAAACCACATACAGACCCACTAACGCTCCTTCATATGAACCACACACTCATCTCAGCTCTCAAGGCCTCCCCTTTTCATACACAGGAATGACACCAGCAGCTTCCCCCTCCATGTAGAAGGGTTCAGTCCCAGAAACTCATTCACAGACAACCCCCAGAAGATGCCAGGAGGGATGGAGGGTTGCAAGCACCATTTCATTTATTTCAAAATATCTAACCCGAATATCTTACCTGAAGTAGTTTTCTCCTCCTTCCCCAAGAGCATTAACAATTCCTCTGTCTTTAAGGTTTCCTCTTCAACAGGGACTAATGGGATACAAGACTTGACAAAAGCTTTAAGGCACTCTGATGTATATTCCAGTTAATTCAAAGCCAGTTTCACTCCTCCTTGTCATACACAGTTCACAGGCGATGACTTGGCAGTTCCAGATCCTCAGTAGAAAGCACAATGTACTTCTGCTGGGGCCTAGGCAGCAAATGAGGTCCCAGAGTTAGAAAAGGCCCTCATATACCACCTCCCACTAGCACTCAATAGCACAATTGATACAATTTTTATCTTTATTATTACCTTATTTTCAACTCCTGCACATTTTCATGATTTGGTTTTGAACACATTTCATGTTTTACATAGTCAGTCTTGAACCCATTAATATTTACAACCAAGCCAGATGCTGTCAGAAATGCTAACTCCTTGCAGCTTCCATAGAAAAAACTGTATCAAAGAGAGGGAAGGGGAGAAGTAATATGTAGCTTTCATCAAACAAAAGGCAGTGCAAGATCAACACTCATCAGAACCCAGGAAATCCACCAGTGATGGAAACAAGATCCCAGTTTGATGCCCAGCTGGACATCAGCAAACAAAGCCACAAGACCTAAACACCAGGTTTAGTCCTCTCCACCTGCAGGAGTGAATTAAACTTACAGTATATATATTTTTATTATATTTTTGTTATTATTATATATATTGTTATTGTTGTATATTATGATTGTTATTATTATTATTAATATTACGTTTAAATCAAGGCTGGATTGTGTAGTAACTACAAACTTGGGACCCTCAGAGAAAGTCTACTAAGGGCTTCAGTTCCAGTTTCTTCAACTCTCATCTCATCAGTTTCTTCAGCTCTCACAGGCGGGATCAAAAGCCTCTGGTTAGTAAGGAGAGCTTTTATAATTATTATTTGTTTCTCTCTATAACAAAACAAACCAAGCAATAGCCAATCTCAGGAAAACCTGGCAGATTTGTCAGCTCTAATCCTGAACATACTGGGTTGTCTCCACCCAAGGTGACTTTGGTTTGCTAATAGAACAAGACAGAAGCATTATTGAGCAAGCAAAGCAGAACAAAATCTGTTTGGCAGACATAAACAGTTCATTCACAGTGTGCTCAAATGTGTTAGTTTGGCACACCTGAAAAAAAAGGAAAGGTTCAGAGTTGGCTGAACATGCCCGAGTAGTTTACACTAAACATCCAAAATACAAGCTCAACAGGTAAAGCCTTTACGGATGTGGTTTTCTCCCCCAGCACTATGAGACATTGTGCTGTTACATGAGCCATGTGTCCAGTTGCACATAACAGTATCAGGTCTTAAACCTTTAGAAATTATAATGTGAGTAGAAGATGTTTTAGAGTAGAGCCCACACCAGTAGGACCATATTGCCAGGCCTGTTTTCCCTCACTAGACACTAATGGACTTCAGGAAAGAAACATTCCCCATACCCCCGTGCAACAGCCCTCTGGGCCACACAACTTACCTCCCCCCAAAACACTCACCTTCCTCCCACAGCCCATGGGGCCACGACAGCATCCTGTTACTTCCAGGTTCCTAACACACTGACCTAGAAATTAAAATAAAATAAAATAAAATAAAATAAAATAAATAAAATAAAATAAATAAATAAAATAAAATAAAATAAAATAAAATAAAATAAAATAAAATAAAATAAAATAAAATAAAATAAAATAGGAAAGTAAAAGAAGTTCTATCACTGCTACTAGTGCAGGAAGCCCAAGTCAATGGTATATTTTTAATTAGACTGCAAAAGCACTGTTCTTGTCCAGCAACACTGGCCAGCACCCCACCTTGCACTGGCATGGCCAGCAATGCAGCTGCTGAATTTTGCTCAGCACAGGCTGTGGGGCAGTGAGTCCTGCAGACTGGCACAATGTTTACTCTGCTTTGCAAAGCTGCTTTCCTGCCACTTAACACGAAAAGGCAAGCACTCAGGCAATCCATCTGAGCCACCGTGGTGCAAGAGGCAGGAACACAGGGGGAGGCAGCAGGTGTCTCTCAAGAGTCCGTAAAATCCCTCGCTGGGGACCCCTAATCCTGTCAGAGTCAATTTGTAGTCAATTTTCCACAGTGTTTAAGTACCAAGAGAGAATTGGTTTATCACGGGAAACACTTCCTCTCCAAAGCTGTTTAATTATTTCTGTATCTGTTGGGTAGGCATAAAATGTGTGCAGGAGTGATTTACAGAGAGGGAAGCCAGAGAAAAGAAGAAAGATGCAGAGACCGGGCCAGATCGTCTCCTTCATAACGTGTGACCGTTTCTTACAGGTCCTGGGGAATGGTCTGTGCCATCGGGTTTCTCCCGCTATAGAGGGCTGTAGGTTGTAAAGCTGCACTTAGGCTGTAACATCAGTATTAATTTCTCTCCCCATTCCTCCATCAAGGAGCGGCACACATGCAAAGAGGAAGTTGAGCCTGACTGCAACATCTCAGACCACGGGAATTAACTTTGCTGCTCTCTCTCCACTGCTGACTTGTTGTGCAAATTTGGCCATTTTACTTGTGGCTTGATTTCCAGAACCAACTGTCCCCAAAAACCAGGTCACTAGCATCTACCAGCAAGTTTTGTGATCTTTAATATGACTGCAAGATCCTTTACATACCATCTCTCATGGCAGTCACGACACTTCAAGTACCGTTGGTAAGACTTTTGTGGTCCCACCAGAAATAGGAACGTACGGATCTCACGGCTGTCATTACAACTGCATGTCCCTTCTCATGTTAACGTTTGGTATGCAATACTGTTCATCTCAATAGGATTTGATGAAATTCTTCCAGCTTCAGGCTGAATTTCTTCTCAAAACCAGAAACAGAGAAAAAGAGTCACACCAGAAGAACCAGATGAGTTTCCTAACCACCGGGTTGGTGGCTATGCTGGGTGGTCTCTTGCACTCTTTCATGAAAAGTACTTAAAAGTTCAAGTGTTACAACCAGATGTCATAACTTTGGAGAGTTGAGAAAAGAGTACCTCATTTCCCAACATGCTGTGACTGGTCTTCAAGTTCACCATGAGTCTATGAGAACTTCTGAGGCTCAGCATTTCCAAAATCACATTTCAGGATTAATACCTAGGGAAAGCCCCAAACTGGACACACACTTGAAAATTTGGGGTAAATAGGCATCCTCTCCATTGCACAGGAGACATCTGGCACAACTTATTTTCTTATAATTCAGCATTACTCCTCATTTTCTTATACAGCACAAACGAATCAAATACGAACAAATGACTTGAAAGCTAGTATAATTTCTTTAAAGAGGCAGTTATAAGATTGTCCAGAGAAGAATGAATATTCTACGTGCTAGTATGGTACAATTTGCCCTCTGGTAAATAATTTAGTTATTGAAAATGACAAAGAGTCCTGGGTGGTCTAGCTGCCCCATGGCCTCATGTGGTCAACAGACTCCGTCTTCAGTAAAAACGGCACTAGCTACGACATCCTAGAGGAATTCAAATTTGCACAGAGTGTTTCATAAATGCCCAAACAGTGTTAGAAATGAGCACAAGGCTTGTCTTCACTCTCCAACTTCTCCATTAACATCCACAGTACATTGTTAATCTGGCATTTTATCCTGGCTGGAGGCTGAGGGATATCTGGAATATTATTGACTCCTCCCTGTTCAAAATAAAAATCAGAGGGTCTTGGTTACCACCCTGAAACTCACAATGGAATTTCTTTAATGAGTGTGAGTACATAATTTTCTCACTGAAAATTTAATGTACAGCAAACAGGCCACTCTGCATTGAAGAGAAAAAAGGAAACAAAACAAAATCCAAACCACTCAGTGGGAGATACCTCAGAAAAGTACAAGGAAAAAAAAAAAAAAAAAGGCTATTGCCAGTAATTGATGATTTAGAACATTTTGAATTAAAAGATTAGGGCTGGACATAGATTCACTTCCATCATTATGGAAATCACAAGGAGAATGTGCCTTTTTTAATATCATTATCTTGAATTAGTTAGTGCATCTACTTCAGATTCCTTCAATCACATTTTTCCTCCAATTGAGCTAAAAAACTTTTTTTATTTTTCATATCTCACTTCAGGAACCTTCCTCCTCAGTGGAGCAACATGCCATTCCTTGCTTCTGAAACGAAACAAGCTGTAGTTCTGAAATGTGTCTTTCTCAGTAATGGTGTTATAAATAAGGAGAAATAAACCCTGGGGCAAAAGAAGATATTAGCTGTTCTCATATCTCTACTGGCAGATTAATTGGCTGCACCATGAGCCTGGCTACTTGAATTTGCTATCCGTCACTGCTGTGGCAGGTTACAATTACTTTCTCTTTCCCCCTCTCGCTGTCCCTTTGTCCTAAGCTCTCCCTCCACTTGGGCTCTTGCCATGACCCCTCCTTACCCAAGTCTAATATAACAGCTGAGAGGGACTGACAAAAATCTCTCTTTGCATTGCCCTTTCTCATCTCTGTTACGTATAACATGATAAAATGCCATGTGATGTCCAGATGAACCAGTTTTGAGCCCAAAAGACCTTCCTCTAGGAACTTCATTGAAAATTTCTCCACTAAATGACCCAGACAGTCTGCAAAGGTCAGCCCACTCTTCTCCATTTCTGTTAGGGAATCTCACAAAGATTTATCCTGCTGTAGTGTAGAAATCAGAGCACCCACACCTACCCCCGTGGTATCTCCTCTTCATCCAAGGGCGGATAGATACACCCCTTTTATTTGTCCTTTTCAAGAGAACCATCCCCATTTAGACTCAAGTGGCTTACAGAGTCGAAAAGAAGCTATGGAATGGGTGAGCCACAGGGCTGAGCGGTGCCTGACACCACTTCCAACCAGAGAGGTGCCCTGTGCAGCAGGGGAGGTGAGGGGCAGCAGCTGCCTTTGGGGTGGGATGCAGAGGAAGAAGTGACAGGCAGCTCAAGAGGAGATGCTGCCTAGGTCAGTCCAGCAGGATGAGGCTGAGCAGATGTGGGGAAGAAGAGAAAGATGAGCAAAGCAGAGCCATTTTTATTTACAGTGCCCTTTCCCCTTCTGTCAGAGTGTTACCAGGATACTGACTGGTCAAAGGCATGAAAAAAAAGCAGTAATTTGGATAATCAAGGATATGTGAGGAAAGCTGGTGTGACCTGACAAGTGAAACCCACCAGAGGCATTGCCAGATGAATTTATGATGGCAAATGAAGTAGCAATGGCATGGTGTGCCTAGGGGAGGGGATGGAAGGACAATGCTACTGATGCAGGAGGATGAGATGGGAAAGCTGAACAACAGCAATGCAAAGGGGACACTGCCAGAGGGCAATTCAACCACATAAGAAAGTATGGTCTAACTTCCAAATTTTGTGTCCCCTCCATATGTGGGTTTCATCCACCTGTACTCCTAACTAGAACGGCGCTTGTACTGTTTGAACTTGGAGGTAGCAAGAAGGAGGATTTTAGAGCCGGAGCTGTGCAGCAGCCAAGTTCAGGGTGCTGTTTGCCTGCTGGACCCTGATAACAACAAGCTAAGCCTCTGAAGCACAGCTGCAGTCATCAGCTTGGCTGACATTGTGCTCAAGGTCCATGTGTGCAGCAGGGCTTGTAGCACTGAGCTACTTGGTTGGTTTTGTTATCACTGGGAATTTCAGGGCAGGGAAGGTTTTCTGAGAAAAAAAAAATAAGAAAATAAAACAAAACAAAACAAAACAAAACAAAACAAAACAAAACAAAACAAAATAAAATAAAATAAAATAAAAAATTTACATGGCTTTGCTCCCTTGAGATGAAAACAGGAATCTCTGGGAGGAAACAGAGAAGGAGGCTCCAGTTTTGGTTCTCAAGGGGATGCAGGCTTCGGAGCTCCAAGGTGAGAACCAGGTTCCCACAACCTCCCTGCAGCCTGAATGCATGCGAAACTGGTTTTGAAGTGGAAGGCTGCAGAGAAAGGGGAAAGAGGCCAGATTAGTATCACTCCACTGAGCCCAGCAGAGAAGAGCAGAAGAGGATACTGCTGTACTCTGTGACCTGTATTTTCAATGTCCTTTTATTTATTAACAGCCTTCCAAAAATAAACTCTCAACTGGCTTTGCTGCAGAACAGCAACATGGTCCCTCAGAAAACGGCCTGTTTTTGATGGGCCAGTGCAGTGTCCGTGATACAAACACGCTCCCACCTCCCCCGGGACAGGACATCAGCAGGTCAGTAAGCACCTTGCTGTGGCCCACACCTGAAATCCCCACAGGAGATATCTGGGGAAACTTTTCAAGAAGAAGAATCAGTATGATGCCGTGGGTGCTGACTTTAACCCACAGAAGAGAGTCCTTTTGTGGATCAAGTACAGCCTTTACAAGAATGATGTTCCTTGCATAAACACTTGCTGTTTCTATCAAGATAGACTCACTCAGTGCTTGTCTCTAAGACCCATCAGTCAAGACCTCAGTAATTACTTTCCGCAGCACAGGAAGAAGGTGTGTTGTGGCTCTGAAAGTGGATCAAGGTCACAACCATCAGTCTGTGCTCTTCTGGGTTTGCTCTCAACCCAGAGTGAAAACAAACAGATCACAAAGGGGTTCACAGAGCTGCAGGGCTTCAGACTCAGCCTTACACACAGGCTGACATCCTGGCCGAGCAGACAACAGGAGTGCTACCAACCAAACTGTATAAAGATTCAGGCACTGCATTTGCTGTAAAAAGGTACCATTTACTCAGTTCTCCTTGTTAGTACATATAAGCAGTGGCCTGTTGTCTTTAACTAAGAGCTGCTTCCTTCAGAGTAATGGGATCAACATCTGGTCTATCTCATGGCAGAAGGCAGGAGCCTGACCCCTAACCATGGCAGCAAGTCACTCTAGGCTGTGGCCTTTGCAGGGACAGAAAAGAAATCCGACGAGGGCCAGTAGAAATTAACTTTGCAGAAATAAGTAATTGTCTAAAGAAATGAAGGGAGGCAGGAAAAAAAAATAGCTAGAAAAGTTTGCTGTTTCTCTTTAACCTCTTTCTTTCTTGCAGGTGGCACAACCACTTTGCACCTATGGGAAATGGGAAAGAAATATTGCCTTTTCCAGCAGCTCTGTAGATGTCTACATCAGATGACTCATGGATCTTTTGGCAAGGAATCAAGCTGGGAATGTGTTACTCACTTTTGCTCCTATCCCCAGCTCTCACCCACGTGCTCAAAGACCTCAGCCCCTCCTGGCATGCCGTATGCCATCGGGTGAGTGGTTCCCTTAGGTTGAAACACAAACTATATTTTTAGTCCACTGTGAATGACCTGCAGCCATTTAGTACTTCCCGTGGAGCTCAGGCCCATGCAGGCACAGAACAGAGCCACCAGAAGACTGCTGCAGTTGTGCTGGGCAGGCAATACACAGTTGTTTGTCTCTTTGAGTCCCAGAGAGTGAACAGTGCCCAAGCACACCTACCAGGTCATTACAACAGCCTAATTTCCTCGGATGTTTCTCTTCTGTGAGGTCACACTGCTATTCGCCTCTGGTGTTGTCTGACTCTGGAACTGAGGAAGGAAGTTACAACGCAAAACCCAAACTGGGGGATTTTTTGAAGAACTTGAAGTAGCACATAATAAAAATGCTAATAATATGTCGCAATCCAGTTCTTCAGTCAGATGGTTTCGCACCAAGAGGAAACCAGTGCAGATGCCCTGCAACCTGGTTAGTGTAATATCTGGGCATGAGAGGACATCCAGAAACAAACTGTTCTTCTCTGACTTCCTCAGAGACCAATTAATGCTGAGAGCTCTTTTCTTTGGGGCTGAGATGATTTCAATAATTTAAGCAGCGTATTACATTTTCATGTTTCCAGTCTTCCCTTTACTAGTCCTTGGTGATGTGAAGTGGAGGGATCAGTGAGAAGAGCAAACACAGGCCACCGAACAGACCTGATCCCACCTTTTTAAGCAACTACCTATCCTTGACGTGCTGCTCCCTACTGCAGTAGATGCGATGAGAGACTAGCGACTGGTACGAGTGACCTTCAAAAGGATTAGCCAGAGATGTGTGACTGCCAGTGAATAACTCTATTCATTTATTATCCTTGATGAACAGTAAATCATTCTCTTACGATACTTTCCCATTCATTCGTTGCTTGAGAATGATTAGTAGCAAATAGATCTTAAAAGCTTTTCCAGTGGAGCTGAGCAAAATGTACACAGCGAGAGCCAAAAGCTTTGTCCTATTCACTTGTGGTCAGCTCACATCAATAGAGTTGGCCAAACACTGGAAAAAAATGGAGTGTGAACACACACACAGATGTCCTTTTATCCTCACTGTTATATCTTCTGGTCTCCTGACCATGCTTATGCTACTACTGGAGACAACATTTGCCCAAATAGATTTTTGTTCTGGTGGAGCAATGGCTACTCCCTGAAAAACAGAGCTCCTGTGTAAACTAAGATATTTAGTGGTAAAATAAATAAGTTTCTATGTATAGAATATAGAGAGATACAGAATATAGATAAAATAGAAAATTTTCCTTAACCAGATGGATAGCCAGTGGATGCCAGTGCTTACTTATACACCTATCTGTGGGTAAACACCAACAGAGCTGCCAATCCCACACACCCACAGGTGTAAATACCATACTAGAGTTAGGAAGAAAGATACCACGACCTTGAACTGAGGTGTGAATCAGTGTCCCATGTCCTGTCCCCAGCCCCCAG